CCGAGTGCAGCGATGCAGGCACAGAGCATAATCAGGGGTCTCAAAAAAGATGTAGCATGGAGCCATTGTTCAATGATGTACCGCTGGTATCTCTACTGTCCTCCCATGACAGTAGGGGGGTCCTGACAATTTAATCCAATGGGAACAACATCCGGCCTGCCCTCTCACGGCGGGACCCTCAAGCAGCCATGGATCGAAAAAGTACTTCTCCCAATGGCAAAATCATGATGTAATAAAGGCCCCCTCAGCAGTTGCATCATTTGGCTGACCCATGGTTGGAGGGAGAAGTCTATCAGTCTGTCAGTCCGTGAGTCACGCTGGGGGCAAAGATGGAAGTCCTTGGCGTAGTCTTATACTCGAAGATCGTATTCGAGTAAATCCCGATGAAAAAGGGAAAAGGGAAGGGGAAAAAGAGGGAAGGGGGGGGGAAAAGAGAGAACCCCTTCAGTCAAGGGCAGATAATAAGCCCATTTTTGGCATACACAGTACCCGGGAGCGGGGAGGAGAGAAAGGGTTGGTATCCATGCAACGGGGAAACCCCTCTGTTGCCCACCAGCCCTATTCTCCTCAGTTCTTCCGGGATAACAACCAGTTTCCAGACCCCAGCCGCCATTGAATGCCACAGGGGGCCTCCAGGTCCTCTGCAACCACCAAAGATCCTCCAGGAAGGGGTCTTTCATCTCCAGTCCCGAAAACAAACTGCTTGTGCCCCTCTCAGTCTCGCCGCCAGCAAGCCCCTTTTGCCGGCAATAGAGTTTGGAAACAGCGTCAGTACTTCAATGGGGCGTGCTGCGGCCCAAATTAATATCCGGGCCGACCGCGCCACCCCCGCTGATGCCAACGCCACCATTCCCGGTTCTAAAGGGCCGCTGAGGAGGTTTCCGAGTGGGGCAGACGGAATTCAACGGGCTGCCTGCCACTCATCGCCACACTGCTGCCTTCGCCTTCACCTTCGCCGCTGCCGCTACCGACAAGCCGCTGCTGACAAACCACCATAACATCACTCTCGGCAACATCGGAGCGTCGCGGCCACAGCTCTCCGCCATTGCCACCGACTCCAGGCAGGTCCAGGGGCAAGGGAGCTCCCAAAACCCTCGCCCCGAGCTCCACCGACTGAAACTAGCCGCCGCCAAGTCACCATGTCTCTGCTCTCGGCAGCGTCAGAACGGCACGGCTACAGCTCTCCATTGCCGTTTCCGACTCCAGGAACGTCCAGGGGCGAGGAAGGTCTCAAAACCCTCACCCTGAGCCCATCCAACCGAACCAGGGGTCACTGATGACCAAGCGCCCCTGTGGTACCCCCTAGGGCCCCGAAATAGCCTCCATCCAGGCGCAGCGCTTACAACACAGCCATCTTGTGCATGCTCAAAGCTGATCAAAGCTCGACCCACAAAAGGAAAAAAAACAACAACAGCTGAGCATTTAGCATGCTACAATATGGTTTATGTTTGTTTTAGTCATTATACATGATTAATGCTTGTAATAAATATATTGCATATAGTCATTGATCTTTAAGAGAACAAACATCCTAAAATGTCTCATGGTGGAAATCTGCATCAGTGCCTTCCAAATTAAGGGACTGTGGTTTGCATGTCTGGTGATGGCTTTTCCTGTCAGATACCAGGCACTGAAGGGACAGTCAGTTCCACCAAAGCAAAAACAAAATGTATAGAAGTAGGTGAAATGTATATTATATTACAGAAACCATTGAGGCATATTGTCTAGATATACCCATAGATAATAATACTGGCACAGGTGAGAGATGTGAGCAGATTATCTGGATTCCTTATGCCTTTATAGGATTCAAACTGGGCCTGAGATGGAAGTAGCTCTGGCTGATGACTTATGTCAGGACCTTGATGGAGGAAGTGCTCCTCTCCTTTGCACAATCAGACTTCTCAGCCGAGGCCTTCACCACCAACCAAGGTATCTTTGTGAACCTCCTGTAAAGGCTGGGAGTGTAGAGAAGGAACTTCTAAATTAGAGAGGGCTGTAAAGCACTGAGAAGCGGTATATAAGTCTAAGTGCTATTAATGACCCCACTTGCTGAGCATGGAAGAGTAGGCAAGACTGCTTCCATATGTGCAGCCCTACAAGTCCTTTCTCGTGCTATACAGTATCTACATGAAAACACTGGCAGAATTTATATATAAATTTGAAGTGAGGTATTTTAATAGGCTGATGAACCACGTTTTATGTCACTGCTCCAGGGCCAGCCTAGAGAGTTTGGCCTGGATCAAGTTTGTAGAGGTCAAAATAAACTGAAATGAAATTTCTGCAAGAAGGTCTTGCTATTTGTAGATCATCCATTTGTATTAAAACCAATCATTTTTTGAAACAGTGGCACTGTAAAAAAAAAGATTCTTGATTATATTCTTTTGAATTGCACATATGGAAAATAACTCCATGGATTTTTTTAAAGGCTCAAGGTTGACTCAGCCTTCCATCCTTTCTAAGGTAGGTAAAATGAGGACCCAGTTTGTGGGCAATAAGATGACTTTGTATAAATATACAAAAGTATGAAAGCTATTGCTTAACGCATTGTAAGCCGCCCTGAGTCTCCGGAGAAGGGCGGCATATAAATCAAATTTAAGAAAAACAAAAAAACATAGGCAAGCAAAATACTGCTGTTCAAAAATTAGCCTATTCGACAAAATGAACTCAGCCTAAGTTTTTTGTTATGTGCACACAATTTCTTGATAAACATAATGACTTCCCTTACATATGCTTTTGCAATGCTGATGAGTTGTATATATAAGCAACTTAGCATGAAAAACAATTTGGGCTGAAAAAGAAAATTTAGTCACGAGTCTGTAGAGAGTTACATCATTAGGACTTAGGCAGAGCTTTAGGGCAGTCACTAATCTTTGTCCCACAATACATAATGTAACTTTAATTAGTAGACGTCTAATAAAAAAATAATCAAAAGCAAAATTATAACAGAATTAGATAATCTAAAAAAATGCTATGCTTCCCTAAAGTTAGGTAAAAAAAAAAAAATGAGACCACTAGATTCATGCAGAAATATTTGAGAAAAACAATTCTATCTTCTGTCTTACGCTCACAGTACATATAAACATCTTTTTTTATAATCCTGTAAATATTCTATATAAGAATTTTCAATATTTTACAATACTGCTTGTATTTATATTATTTTTATATTGCTAATTCATTACAAAAATCTCACACACAAACATTCTCAACATCTTTATTTCAAAGAATAGTCTATGGATAAGGCCTTGACATTTAGGACATCAATGATGCTGTTTTTATGTTTCTCTCTCCATTATTCTGAACTTTTAAAAATCTAATCTTTTGGTAAAAGCCAAAGATGGACCATCTAGTTTTCATATGATTTGTATATGGGATTTAAAACATAGAATAATAGAGTTAGAACCTTGGAGGTTTTCTAGCCTAACCCCCTGCTTGAGCAGGAGACCCTATATCATTTCAGACAAACTGTTGTCCACTTTCTTTTTGAAAGCTTTCAGTGATGGAGCACCCACAACTTCCGAAGGCATTGGTCAATTGCTCTCACTGTTAGGAAATTTCTCCTTAGTTCTAGGTTGCTCCTCTCCTTGGTTAGTTTCCAACCATTGTTTTTTCTTGCCTATTAGCGCTGTAGGGAAATAATTTGACCCCCTGGTCTGTATAGGAACCCCTCAAATATTGGAACAGTGCTATTATGTCCCCCCCCCACCTAAAGCCTCTCTCAAATACCAGATACGTTGGTTAATTTCAAATACATCTTAATAATTATGGCCCTGGCCAAAAATGTGGCTCAAAAATACATATTTTCTTGATTTTATGTAATTGCTACCTGGGAAAATTTTCTCCATGTAAAGCTCTTTCTAGTTGACTGCTAGGTCTCGTCAGAAAAAAAAGATGATTGCTAGGTAGTACAAGTAGTCCTCGATTTACAACCTTTCTTTTAGTGGAAAAGCTACAACAGTCCTGAAAAAATCGACTTATGACCGTTTTATGGTCATGTGATCAAAATTCAGACACTTGGCAACTGAGTCATATTCATGATGACTGCAATGTCCTGGAGTCATGTCACCTTTTGCAACTGTCTGACAAGCAAAAACAATGGGAAAGCCAGATTCACTTAACAGCATGGTTCCTAAATTAGTGATTCACTTAAGAACTGTGGCAAGAAATGTGGCAAATTTCACTTAACAACTCTCTCACTTAGCAATGTAAATTTTGAGCTCAAAATTTGTGAACTCCTAAATCAAGGACTACCTGTGAGGGTGAAGGTTCTTTCTTGGGAGTTGTAACAGTAACAAGAGTTGGAAGGGACCTTGGAGGTCATCTAGTCCAACCCCCTGCTCACACAGGAGACCTGTACCACCGAGCTCCTGACCTTTCTGATCGACAGGCTCAGTGTCTTAGCCCCTGAGCCACCTAGTCAGGCACCTAGTCAGGAGCTTGTGGGTTGGTTTCCAAACATTTCGTTACTAGGCTAGGTAACATCTTCAGCGGAATTTAGGGGATGTCAGTGTCAGAAGAGCTGACACAGGAGAAGTGTTACCTAGCTTGGTAATGAAAAGTTCGGAAATCAACCCACAAACTCCAAGAATGAACTTTCACCCTTATCCTACACCCCAGCTACAAGATATTCGCCACTATGGGAAGAATATCTTGGTAGTAAAGATACGTATTCAGAATACTCATTCTGCTCATTCCTGCCACCTAGTGGTTGTCTGAAGTTTTGAACCCAGGTATATATGGCACCCTTGTTCGAAATGTGTAAATTTATAATCTGTATTAATTGCACCTGTTTCTTCTACTGCCATTTAAAGTCTACTGACTTAATTTTTTAATTTTTAAAAAAGACACATAGGTCATGAACCGCTGTTGAAAGATAACGGGATGCACGGCGGAACAAGAAGCTGTTGGAAAATTAAGGGGGGGAGAGAAAACCGGCGGATCTACTTCCGGCGCTCTATGGAACTACTTCCTCTCCCCGCCCCCCCCCTTTCATTGATCTCCTGAGAGAGCGGAAGTGTTTTTGTTTTGGTGCCGCTGGGTAGTGTGGGAAGGCCGGTGTCGTCGGTGCGCCAGCTCGCGGTGCCGGAGCCCTGGAGGTGGGAGAGGCTCGGAGGGAGGCAGCCGGCGCGTCCTGCTCGCTCGCCTGGGACAAGGACCGGAGAACGGGGCCGGCGGAAAGTGGCGGTACGTCCTTCGCTTCGCGCCCTTCAGCGGCATTGGAAGCGCTTCCATCTCCCGAGCTGCCCGCCTCAATGGGGTATTGTAGTCCCAGGGACGGACTGAAAGTCAGCCCGGTCCTGGAGTTTTCCTGCCTACCTGCCTTAGAGAGAGGGGGGGGAAGCGAGGCGACCCGGCTCCATTCGCCTTTGCTTTGGCCAACCTGCCCCCGCTGGATCCAGAGGAGGGGAGGGTAGATGGGGGCGATTTCTAGCAGCTCCCTCGGAGTTTCTCTCCCTTTCTCTCTCCGTTTCTTAATGCTACATACATACGTAGCAGTATGTATGCATGTATGTATGTATGTATGTATGTCTATACACACACACACACACACACACACACACACACACACACACACATATATTACGTGTAAACGGGCGATTTCCAGCAGCTCCCTCGGAGTTTCCCTCCCTTTCTCTCTCCGTTTCTTAATGCTACATGTGTGTGTGTGTATGTGTATATATATATCATATATACATATAGTATATATGTATATATGCTATATATATGTATATATATAGCAGCTCTCTCGGAATTTCTCTTTCTCCATTTCTTAATGCTACATTTTTTTTTAAGGTGTAAACGGGCGATTTCCAGCAGTTCCTTTGGAGTTTCTCTCTCTTTCTCCCCATTTCTTAATGACACACACACACACACACACACACACACAAAACGTGTAAACGGGCGATTTCCAGTAGCTCCGTCGGAGTCTGTCTGTCTGCCTCCTTTTCTTAAGCTACATTTTTCAAGTTGCAAATGGGCTGCGAGGATCCTAATCCTGGGGGGGGGGAGGGGGAGGGAGCTTTGTAGAAGCCGGGCGCCCCTGGGACTCGGTAATTGCCCTTTCAGGGCCAGCCTGCCTGGCATCAGCTGCTGGCTCGCTTGAGATCCATGTTTTTTTAAAACAAAACAAAACAAAAAACAAATTAATTGTAAAGCTGCCTGCTGTGGCCTGACATCAAATTTAAGTAGTTTATCTCTGTCTCTGTCTCTCTCTCTTTTTTTTAAAATTATTCTGTTTTCTTGTTTGCTGTTCTCGCATAGGAATAGAATAGACAGAAGTTGGTTGAAATTTATCAGGCTGGCCATATTTTTCGATTAATTGTATTTCTTGGAGAGTTGAGGGTGGCTGTCTCACAACCTAGCTTTTATGCTGGTGTGAACTCTGGGGTCTGAAATCTGATAACATCTATGCATCACATTTGGGAAGATGTCCTATATCTATATATCTATATATCTATATCTATATATCTATATCTATATCTATATATCTATATCTATATATCTATCTATATATATATATATCACTTTATATTTGCTTTTATAAATTTTCACCTTACATAGATGTATCTGAAAAAAGAAACATTGGGGGCAAATTAGGGTTCTCATCCTATATGGTTGATGTGTACCCTTCAAATAAATTTAGTGCATCTCAGGTGAATATAATGCATCGGCTGCATAGACCTTTAATCTGAGTCAGAAAACCTCTTCTTATCTTCCCCTTTTCTTTCCTTTATAAATGAAGAAGCATTCTGTGATGGCTCAATGGAATTTAACTATAAACTCAGTAGAAATTCCTATTGTTCAGATCCCCAACTTAAATGATAACATTTGCTGAGAAGGAAAAGAAATGAAGGCAGGATTTGAACATTTTTTAGTTAAAATTATACAGCATGGTTACTTTGGATTGACTTCTGGCATCTATAAATAATTATCTTGGTTTTTCCTTTGGCTTAAGTAGGGCTGAATTATGGGAGTAATTGAAAGTTTAGATTTGATTCAATCCTATTTTACTAATATATTATGAAATAGAATATTCTTTTCTCCCTCTTATTTAGTTCTTGAAATTTGCTTTGAAGATTGGAAGATCTTATGAAGAAGATATGGAAAACATGAAAAATCATTTGGTCATTTTTCTGATGTTTAATTTTAGTAGCACAATCTTAAACTTAATTAAATTAACTCAAGCTAATTTAGTGTCTTTTAAGAAGCATTTCTACCTTTAAGTAATTCATTTTGCTGAGGATGTAACTTGATGTACATATGAACATAAATTTTGCTCAGTTTAATTTAGAACAAACTTTATCTTGCCCACATATTTTATTGGAAATGCATATGTATTATTTTAGGATCGGGTTCTGTTGAATTCACTTATTTCTAGATAAATATGTATGTCACTGGAACTTAATATAATATAATTTGACTATGCTTTTTTGTCCTTAAATACCTTAAGTTGTGGCATTTAATTTGTTTAAATTTTACTTTGTTTTATTATATTGTGTTTTATGTGATATAGTTTTTCATGGGATGTTTGGATTTTGGTTAAGTTGAATATTTCAAAAAGTGATTTAAAGGTTAGTCTAACATGTAAAAGTCTGCCAGGTTTTCATGAACAATTCTATGTTTGATAAAAATTCTGCAAGCCTGTAATTCATCTTTTTCATATATATTTTTTTTTTTAGATTTTGGATTCTTCTGAAAAAGCACTGGAACTCATCTCTCTTGCTTGTGATCCATCCTGTAATCTGCAATCTGTCTGAAGGCCATAGCTCTAGAAAAAATATTTCCTTTTCTGCTTGTAAAAACCAACTCCTCCCATAGCTTTAAAATTCTTCTGGAGAATTCATACTTTATGTTCCTTGAGATTGGAATATTCAAGTACATTTTTGCAGACTAGACAGACATCATAACAGTAGAAGAAATAAGACCTGTTCTATAACCATCAATGTAATATTTAGAAAACCATTAAAATGGACATTTATATTAGAAGGGGGACTGTTTTTTACCAGTGCCTGCAATATAGATAAGCCACTTACTTTTCTTGCAGGCTTTATTATTATTATTGTAGTTATGGCAGCTGCAACAATAGTTCATGATACTTCTGAAGCTGTAGAGCTTTGCACTTTATATGGCTTATACCTTAAACCCATCACAAAAATGAGTATCAGTGTGGCACTTCCACAATTAAAGCAGCCAGGGAAATCCATTTCCAACTGGGAAGTAATGGAAAGGCTAAAAGGAATGGTGCATACTCATCAGTTCTCAACTCTACGGATTTCTAAAAGCACTATGGATTTCATCCGATTTGAAGGAGAAGTAGAAAATAAGAGTTTAGTTAAATCCTTCCTGGCATGTCTAGATGGCAAAACTATCAAACTTAGTGGCTTTTCTGATATTTTAAAAGTGCGTGCTGCAGAATATAAAATTGATTTCCCTACACGACATGACTGGGATTCTTTTTTCCGTGATGCAAAAGATATGAATGAAACTTTGCCAGGGGAAAGACCAGATACTATCCATCTGGAAGGTTTACCTTGCAAATGGTTTGCATTAAAAGACTCTGGCTCAGAAAAACCAAGTGAAGAAGCTCTCATTAAAGTATTCAGCAAATTTGGAGAAATACGTAATGTGGATATACCAATGTTGGATCCATATAGGGAAGAAATGACTGGCAGAAACTTTCATACATTCAGTTTTGGAGGCCATTTGAATTTTGAAGCCTACGTTCAATATGAAGAATATGCAGGTTTCATCAAGGCTATGAATGCTTTGCGAGGGATGAAGTTGATGTACAAAGGTGAAGATGGCAAAGCAGTGGCTTGCAACATAAAGGTGATTGTGGTGCTGAACTCTTCATCGTTTTCAAAAAATCACTTAATTTCAGGCAAATATCCTGCTAATTTCTATTTAGAAACTATTTTTACTCCTTGGAGTGAAAAGAATGGAATGCTGCGACATATTTTAGCAAATCTTCAAAATTACTTATCAGATATGTGTATATTAGCTTGCTACAAATAACCTAGCAGCTATCAGTTAAATTGCAAGAGATAGTAGAGGGAGTTTATAACTTTATAAATGGTAAATTATAATATACATATTACTAAAATACAGTGTCACCAGTTAACTATAAATTTAGGAAATGCAAGTGAAGTAAAAAGTGTATTTTTCTAAGGAAGATAGTTTAAAATACTATTGATAAATATCCATATTGTAATGAACATAAATCCATTGTGCCATTCTTTTGAATATTTGCTTTTTATATTTTTCCCCTGTGTGCACACTTTACAAGCAAAAGGGAAAAGCAATAATAGAATAAATGAGAAGTGGGAAAAACTCTTCAGCTAGCAATCATAACTTATTTATTTAGCCTTCTCATGACTTAGCAAGAGAGCTGTGCAAAGGATATAATGTCTTTGGAAGGTCAGAGCAATTTTTTTTGGCCTCTTGGGTAGAGTTGAAATGTGTAGCTTACGCATTGGAGAGGCTTATTTGGTCCTAAAAGCCTTCCGTAGCAAAAATAAAATAAAAATGACCTACAGTAATTTTCTTTGAAGACTCTAGAGGTTTTGTGATATGAAGATGGTGCTTTAAGCTTTTGCACCTTAAGGCACTTATTTTGTCATCTGAAACTTTCCCAAAGTTGCAGAAAAGGCAAAATGTCACATCTCCTATTTCAAGGTTATATGTTTGAGATTGTTGTAGAAATACTATGGTCCTACACTTGGCTCTTGGATGATTCATGAGTTATGTATGCTGTATGGAAGTAGACAAAAATAATTTTCTGAAGAATTGCCTCTAGATGAGATGGACAGAACATAAATCTAATACATAAATGAATAGTAATGCTACATAAACAGGCATTTCCCATAGAATAGCTCAAGGGAGCCTCTGCCAAATGCAGAGTATTTGCCAGTAGTTTAAAATTTATATGAGAAACTCAGCTATGGTAGCGATCACACTTGATTTAGAGGTTACCCTTTCTGGGTTTAGATTGTTTGCAGACATTTGCAGTTCTACAAAAAATACAGATAGTTTTCATTTAATGTTAATTGGGAATGAAAACTCCATTATTGAGTGATATAATAAGTTCAAAAACATGTTCAAAAAACATGACACTTCGTGACAGCAGTTCTGGCAGTCCTCATCGTATAGTTAAGTAGGCACATGACCACAACTTGCAACTTACTGCCAGCTTTCACATTGATTTTTCTTGTTGGAAGCTGGTAGAGAAGGTTGCAAATAGTGACCGTAGAATGTTGCAATGCTCATAAATATGAAGACCCGTCATAATTAACGGACAATGGTTCAGCACCACCAAACGTTGAGCACTTGCTGAACAAGTCATTAAATGAGGGTCATCTGGACTCAATTGCAAATACCACTAAATTTAACAGAATTTAGAATTTTATTTGCAAACAGATTATTTGATAGATCCACATGTTAAGACCACAGTAGCATGACAGGGCCTTTTCTATAATAGCCACATTCTTAGGTGCATAGTTTTATTAGAGACTTGGCTGTGCTCAAATGGATTGTAAAAGGCAGTATATTTCAATCCATTATTAAATCTCTGGATGGTACTCTCTATAGTTTAATGTTTTAATTAAAACTATTTTTTTTAAATTTTAGTTGGAATTATATTTGATGCTGGTTTGTTTGATCTACATATAATAAATTTCTATTTCAAATTCCTATTTTATATGACATTGATAATTTAGAAATAGTTCAAAATATTTTAAAATATTAGGTTAAAAACTTTTACAGCTATTTGGAACACCATTAAAATAGATGGAGGCTGATGGAGCAATTAAAAAAGGAATAAAAAGTGCTCTGTTAAGAAAATCAAGGTTTCTCTTTTTTCCCCAACAGTAAATATATTTATTTGTTTAATTTAACTGGTTATAAATATCAAGGGAGTCTCTATTGATTGAATAGTTGCATTGCAAAACGATTATTTTCATAGTATTGTTTAAAATTCTCTGTCCTGCTTTCAGTTAGTTCAGAGTAGTACTGTTTTAATCCAGGTCCAGAAAGACTCTCCACTGATCTGAGGTTATTAACTTTAATAAAAATGTTTTTTTCTACGTCTGTAAAAGGTTTCATTTGATTCCACAAAACACCTGAGTGATGCATCAATTAAGAGACGTCAGCTTGAAAGACAGAAGCTTCAAGAGCTTGAAAAACAAAGAGAAGAACAAAAACGTAAAGAAAAGGAAGCAGAGGAAAGACAAAAAGAGGAAGAAAGGTAGGTGTTATTCTTTCATAGGAAATACTATAAATATTAGATTATAACTTTGCCAAATCTAGAAAAATGCATTTATATGTATGTTGGGGATGGTGTCTGTGTTTGTAAACCATAAATATATTTCAAACTAATTTATATTTCATGAGTTTTGTAGGAAAGTATATATCCAGGTATTGTAATTGACCAATTTCAGATTTAATTTAATACGTTGGAAAAATTATATACATCCGTCAGCTATCAGCATAAAATAATATTAGCTTTTGCACATTAAATTAAAGTAAATCTATCTCAGCAAATAAATATATCTCAGTGTGCCAGATATTTTCTTATAAGTAACTTGAGATGTTAAATCTAGATTGATTTCTATCATTCATGTGCATGTATTTAAGATATTAAAGTTCTCTGAAGGTCTACTCTTGAACATATTCAGACTATAGAAGCTTTCAATCTTTCATAAGGCTAGTTTTGAGAATAGTTCTATTGGGCTTCCATCTTGTAAGTGGCATGAAAAGAGCTCATATTCTCTCATTTTTACCTATTTGTCATAAATAACATAAGTGTTCATGTTTAGGAATGGAGAGATTCAAATAAAATGCAAATTCAAATATAAAATTATGAGAAATGCAAATTCTTGATGTTATTTGCAGAAATGTTATGATACATTGGTTCTCACCATATTTTCTTTAGTAGAAAAACAAGAAGTCTGTATGCTTTGTACTAGACATACAGCAATTTGCTTTTATATGCATTTTACATCAGTAAGGGAAATTGCTTTATCATGTATTTGGTTTGATATAAAATGTATAAAAAGATGTAAACTTGGGACAGTTCAATTAAGGCCTGTAAAATAATTTTACATTACTTTAGCCTTCAAATGATTATGTTTGAATTTCAACTATAAGTAAACATGAACACCTGAAATTGTATCGTAATATGCCTTTCTAGGAAACAGAAAGAACTTGAAGAATTAGAAAGAGAAAAAAAAAGAGAAGAAAAATTGAGGAAGAGAGAGCAGAAACAAAAAGATCGTGAAATACGTCGAAACAAGAAAAGACTTGAAAAACTTCAAGCTGAAGAGCAAAAAAAATTGCAAGAAAAAATAAAACTAGAAGAGAGGAAGCTTCTTTTAGCTCAAAGAAATCTTCAGTCCATTCGACTAATTGCTGAACTACTGAGCAGAGCCAAGGTACCTCTTTTTTTAAGTTTTCCATAGAAAAATGCCCTTCAGCCCAAGAAAAGAATATTTGTAGTGGTATATACTAAATATATACTTACAATTTAACTAAAGATATGCTTGTCATTTATCAGATGCTTTTGATTTCCTGTTTTTTTCCAGTTGTTGTATAAGTCACTATATCAGTTACTAATTTTTATGTCGGCACTGGCTGACTCTCCTGTCTCCTTTTTCCTCTTTCTTGTTTGGAGGATTAATATGCCAGTTGTGTTAGCCTATATTACAAAATCAATCCAATTAAAAACAGAGGTGCAAAAGGGACAAACATCAGGATTGGATATCAAGATCTTCTCTCTTCCAAAATTTCCATTGTTTCAGTTTCCTCAACTGTGGTCAGCAAAACTACTTGTTTGAGTACAGTACACAAGGGTTCAACCCATATTATAATCTTGTCATTACATTAAGGACTTCGGGGTTAAGAAGACCCTTGAGGGCTTTGGTTTAATTTGTCAGCTTCATTGTATCACTTTGTCCCTACTTTAGAATGTGAATACTATAATGGTATTACATGGTATTGAAATTCTAGCAATGCCTTCTAACAATTTTGTCAGGGAGAATAAATCCACTCAGGTAACCTGGTGATGTCTCTAGGTTGGAGATTTCTTCAGGTAAAAGTATATGGAGTAAATAAACTTTTAATCTGATGTCTGAGGTTATTCATGTTAATTCCTAGGCACTGCTTTAGGTTGATCTATTTCAGGAGCAATTGAATTTTATTAAAACTTTACACCAGGGATGTCAAACTCAGGGCCCAGGGTCTGGATTCGGCCCACGGGGTACTTAGATCTGGCCCGTGGGGCCGCCCTGGAAACAGCAAAGGACCAGCCTGGGTTGCCTCTGCCAGCTCAGTCATGGCCCTCCCGAGCTCTGTTTTCACTGGCAGAGGGTTGCAGGAGGCCATCGCAGCCGAAAACTGGGCTCAGGAGTCTGTTGTCACTGTCAAAGTGCTTAGGCTACCACTGATGCCCCCATACGAGTTGAGCTGGCCACGCCCACCCTGCTATGCCGCGCCAACCCCCTGATGCAGTCTTCAATGAAATTGAGTTTGACATCCCTGCTTTACACATTCCACATTAAAAAAAACCTTTTTTTAGATTTACTAAATAAATATGCTTTTGTCTATTCTTTTTTTTATCTGATGCAAAGTTGATTTTATTATGGAATGTATATATTTCTTTTTCTTCAATATTGGTAGGCAGTAAAACTTTTGGAACAGGAACATAGTGAGGAAAAAATCCGCCTTCAGCAGCTGGAAGAGAGGAGAAAACTACAAGAAGCAGAACTCCGACGAGTAGAGGAAGAAAAAGAAAGAGCTCTTGGACTGCAGAGGAAAGAAAGGGAATTGCGAGAGAAATTGCTCAACAACCTTATGAGCAAGAAAATGGAAATAATTCCTGTGAAAAAGTACGACTCTAATACAGTGCAGTGTCCCACTTGGAAAAGCCTTGTAGATGTTCCCCATTGCATCACATCTACCTCAGTGCAGTCCATCTTGTCCCAACCACTCCACATTTGTCAAAGCAGCATAGCAGCTAATGAAAGTTTCCCTCAACCAAAGTACTTAAATGGGAGCTTCCACGAGGAAGGTCTTCAAGACACTATGATCAATATTTGCAACAAAGATAAGGTTTCTGATGAAAGTAGTTTGGATGTCCTTTCCAGTATACCTGCAAATCAGCAACACAATAGCACATTGGATCATGAGAAGATCCTTTATAAGAACTCTCTCCCAGAACAAGGCAAATGCAACAGAGAGCCAAGCAAGGGGAGAAGTCATTCATACAGAGACCGAGATGTTTGTAATCACCAGAGCAAAAATAAAATTGAAAAAAGCAGACACAGAAGAGACTTAAGTAGCGAGGATGAGAAATGCAGAAAAGAAAGGCGTCCTTATAAAAAACATTCAAGAAAGAGTAGCAGTCCTCACCAGAGGAGCCCAGATTTGGAATATACCCGACAGAGACAGACATTTAGTGGCGACAGAGATCAGGATAAAAGAGGCCGCAGCCACAGCCACAGCCACAAGAGCACCGGGAAGAAACAGAAACATCGGAAGAGATCTTTGAGCAACCAAAGAAGCACTTGGAGTAGGTAATAGAGGAATTATCTTTTTCTAAGGGCTATTTTGGAGAAAGAACTGCAAAGATCTCTGCTTGGTCTGTCTCACAGAGAGAATGGAAACTGATTTTTTTTACTTGAATGATTTGCAGAATTAAAAAATTCATAACCACCCTTTTCAAAACACATCTTTTTGTGACTTAATTGTCAATGGTTTCTTGGCTGTCGATTTTAATTGTTCTAGCTCACATTGAAACTGTGATAGCCAGATTAGTTTCACTTATTTCCAGTATCCAGTTGGATTCATTTTAATTGGTAATGACTGTAATCATAGCAGTTTCTGTTTAGAAATCGGCATGTGTATGTTTCTAATAAGAAATGTAAACTTGATGAGTTACTACATACTTGATTCGTTAGAACTCGGTAATTCCATGCAGGACTTTTTTGCTATCTCGACTGGTGCTAGAAGCAACCATATTTTTATATAGTGCTGTGATGCCTTCTTTGCTATTTTTGCCAACTGCATTATTTCCTTGACCTTGAATGGCCATGTTGTTTATTCTTTTACAGGTTTTGAAGCTCTGTTCCATTTCAAAGCAAATATTCAGGATTTGGGTGGGAAGGAGACTTCCAAGAAAGTAGATTATAAAATTTCTAATGTATCAATATTTGATTCCCCACCCCCCTAAATGCAGTTTTGAGGCATCTATATTTGAAAGAAGGGCTTTTCAGCTAAGTAATATATATATGTGTAATGTTCAGGTTCAAAGTTATATTTTCACCCTTTATAACTTCTTTGCTTCGAGAAATGAAGCTCAGGAATTTCTCCAAAATATTTTCATAGTGCAAACCAGCTTTCTTACCATTTAATGGTAAAACTGCAAAAGCCATTGCCAGTGAATACAAACTGCTTTGTGATTGGAAATAATAAAGATCTATACATACTCCATTAAATCTGACTTTGTTTGTGTTTGAAGTATTATTGACTTCTACAGAACGCTTAACAGAAATTGGAAATTTGCTGTATTTGTACTTCTTTATTTGTAAAATAATTTGCACAGTCTGGTATTGGGGGCTGCACTTAGTTATGAAAATGGTTTCGGCTTGCAGTGGCTCCTGAATCTTAGAAATGTCATTGGATGGGGAGGTCAAATGTTAATTCTGCAGGAATTAATTGAGCTGCTGAAAATCAGCCATTTAGCAGCATAATCTAAGAACTCAGAACTGAAAACTATTAAATTCAGAGATTTCTATCCAAAGAACATATCAAGGAATATTTATTCATTTATTATTATTTATTATATTTCTATACCGTCTTTCTCCCGTAGGACTCAAGGCGGTGTACAGTCAAGAAAAATATAGACACACAAACATCATAAAATTGCTAATTAAAATTATTACTTAGTTTGGTCAATTAAATAAAACCCAGAATTAGATAACATTTAAAAAATCATTCACATGTTTGTATGTTTAGCCCCGCCTGTTGGAACATCAGGGTCTTGAGGGCACGGCGGAAAGCACGGAGATCAGGGATATTCCGTATCTCCGGGAGCAGTTCATTCCAAAGGATTGGAGCCCCCACAGAGAAGGCCCTCCCCCTGGGAGTCGCCAGTCGACATAATTTGACTGATGGTACCCTGAGTAGTCCCTCCCTGTGAGAACGAACTGGTCGGTGGGAGGCTATTGGTGGCAAAAGGCGGTCTCGTAGGTACCCAGGTCCTAAGCCATGGAGCGCTTTAAAGGTTATAACTAACACCTTGAATCGCACCCGGAAGACCACCGGGAGCCAGTGCAGCTCGCGTAGGAGAGATGTTACATGGGCGTAATGAGCTGCGCCCATAATCATCCGCACGGCTACGTTCTGGACCAGTTGGAGCCTCCGGGTGCTTTTCAAGGGGAGCCCCATGTAGAGAGCATTACAGTAGTCCATATGGGAGGTAACTAGGGCATGAGTGACCGTGCGCAAGGCGTCCCGATCCAGAAAGGGACGCAACTGGTGGATCAGGCGAACCTGATAAAAGGCACCCCTGGCCACGGCCGTCAAATGATCTTCTAAAGATAACCGTGAATCCAGGAGGACACCCAAGTTGCGGGCCCTCTCTGTGGGGAGCAAGATCTCATCCCCTATTGTCAGTGATGGTACCAGCTGACTATACCGGGACGCCGGAAGCCACAGCCACTCGGTCTTGGAGGGGTTGAGTCTGAGCTTGTTTCTCCCCATCCAGATCCGCACGGTCTCCAGGCAACGGGACATCACAGCAAGGGCATCATTGGGGTGGTCTGGGGTGGAGATGTATAGCTGTGTGTCATCAGCATACTGATGAACACTCACCCCAAAACCACGGATGATCTCGCCTAGCGGTTTTACATAAATGTTGAACAGAAGGGGTGAGACGACTGACCCTTGTGGCATCCCACAAATAAGGTGCCTCGAGGTCGACCTGTGCCCCCCTGCCAACACAAACTGCGAACGGTCAGAGAGGAAGGAGGAGAACCACCGAAGCACGGTGCCCCCTATTCCTAACCCCTCCAGCCGGTGCAGTAAGATACCATGGTCGATGGTATCAAAAGCCGCTGAGAGATCTAATAGGACCAGGATAGAGGAGCAACCTCTGTCCCGAGCCCTCCAGAGATCATCCACCAATGCGACCAATGCCGTTTCCGTGCTGTATCGTGACCTGAAGCCCGACTGGAACAGATCCAGATAGACAACTTCATCCAGGTATCGGGGTAGTTGTCGCGCCACCACACTCTCAACAACCTTCGCAACAAAGCGAAGATTGGAGACTGGACGATAATTTGATAATATAGCCGGGTCCAGGGAAGGCTTCTTGAGGAGGGGCTTCACAACCGCCTCTTTCAAGGCGGCAGGAAAGACACCCTCAGAGAAGCATTTATAATCCCCTGGAGCCAGCCTCGTGTAACCTCCCGGGAGGCCAGTACCAACCAGGAGGGACACGGGTCCAATAAACATGTGGCAGCGTTAAGCTTGCCCAGAATCCTGTCCACGTCCTCAGGACCCACAGAGTCAAACTCTTCCCAGATAACGCTCTCAAGACCTGCCCCCGTCTCCTCCCCTGGATCTACCCAATTGGAGTCCAGGCCTTCCCGAATCTGAGCGACTTTATCATGCAGGAATTGTACAAAATCCTCAGCTCGACCCTTTAAGGGATCTTCCTGTACCCCCACCTGAAGTAGGGAGCGGGTCACCCTAAACAGCGCAGCTGGGCGGTTCTCTGCAGATGCAATAAGAGCGGCGAAGTAGCTAGACTTCGCTGCTCTTATCGCCACTAGGTAGGTCTTAATATAAGATCTCACCTGTGTTCGGTCAGATTCAGATCGGCTTGTCCTCCAATCGCTCTCCAGGCGTCTTTTCCGACGCTTCATCTCTCTCAGCTCCTCGGAAAACCAAGGAGCTAGACGAGATCGGAATCGGGTCAGAGGCCGCAAAGGCACAACGCGGTCCAAGGCCCCAGTAGCCGCTCTGTCCCAGGCGACCACCAGGTCCTCAGTCGAGTTGTGAGCCAGAGTCTCAGGAAATGGCCCAAGCTCCATCAGGAACCTTTCGGGGTCCATCAGGCGCCTGGGACGGGTGGAAGTGACTTGAAAGTCCATGTGAAGGAGAGAATGATCAGACCATGACAAGGGCTTGATGTCTATATCCCCTATTCTTAGATCATTCAGCCACTGATCAGAGACAAAAATCAAGTCCAGAGTGTGATTCCCCAAGTGGGTGGGGCCTTGAATTACCTGGGTCAGGTCCATGGCCGTCATGGAAGCCATGAACTCCCGAGCTGTCTCCGACATCTCACCAGCGGATGGCAGGTTAAAATCCCCCATAACAAGTCTGGGGGTTTCCACCGCCACCCCGGCTATAATGTCGAGCAGCTCAGGCAGGACCGCTGTTACGTGGCAGGGAGCCAGGTACGCAATCAGTAGGCCCATCTGAATCCCCCGACCCCACTTCACAAGGAGGGACTCACATATGTGAGTATGTGAATATGAAGAAGAAAGGCAAAGACAATGGCAGCATGTCACACAAAGAACAAAAAAATATGAGAAGATAGCCCCTGCCTTCACTAGAATTGAGCAATTGATTTCATATCCTCCCCCAGGAAGTAAATGCACAGACATCTGAAGAAAGGACTTCATCATGTGTTCCAGTGACAAGAAATAAAATGGCTCAGACTTCACAAGGAAAAAAATGGGTCTGATCAATAAAGATTCTGAAGGCTAAAATTGTATGACAAACAATTGAGGGAGCTAGGTATGTCTATTCAAGAAAAGGATTAGGGGTTGTTAACATATGGCATTGTTAATTAACCAGGAGACTACAATGCAATTGCAGAGTAATAATTTGACTGCCAAGGTACCAGCTCTGCTGTAGAAAAAGCTTGCGTGCTTCCTGTGGTGCATCATAAGAGGATGAGCTGGCTTCGTACCAGAAGGAAAACAGTGGCTCTTCCTGCAGTATTATCCAGGCATGCTCCTTCCCCAAAGCCATCTTGCAAATGGGCATTGCAACTGGGAAAGTTCAGAGCGCAGGATTCTGACTCCCTGCATAGAGCACCAGCTCATCCCCCCCACCAAAGCAGTACCTATTTTATCTACTCGCATAGAACATGCTTTCAAACTAATTAGATGGACAGAAGCTGAGGTAAGTGACAGGAGCTCACCCTGACATGCCGTGCTAGGACTTGAACCGCTGGAGCAGAAACCATCTCCAGCATCATTAAGCCACTGAGTTACCGCACCTCTAATAATATTAGGGGTGATAGGATAGCTGTCTTCCAGTATTTGAGGGGCCGTCACAGAGAAGGGGGGATTGAATTATTCCAAAGTACCAGAGGGCAGGAGAAGAAGTAATGGGTGGAAGCTTGTTAAAAAGATCCAATCTAGAACTCGGGAGAAATTTCATGACACTGACAACTATTAGTCAATAGAATAGGTTGCTTTTCGGATGTTCTATTGCCAGAAGTTTTTAAGAATAGACTGGACAACCATTTGACTGGGATGGTATAACGTTTCTTGCCTTGAGCAGGGGTTTGGACTAGAAGACCTCCAAGGTCCCTTGCAGCACTATGATTCTATGCTATAATGCTGTTCTAATGCTGTGATAGCCATGGGAATAGGCTCATCCCCTGTGGCTCATAGGTTGCATTTCCCACTTCTGCCTTTGATGGTTAATTATTTTCCTTAGCCCACAAATTGCAGATTTTTATGTAATAATAACTTCGGTCTCTTTCCAATAATTCCTAGAGTTTCTTTTAAATAGGCCTTCAGAATTCTATAAGATAGAAAACCTGTTGCCAGTTGGTAGCAGTGCACCTACAGATAGTTTGGCCAACCAAGCTCTCTGCCTTCTCAAAACCTACTATTTTAAAGATAGTCTAATTTATAAAATTAAGTGCGAGAGCTAAGCACCAACCTCTGTTAGAAAGTGGTAACATGAGTGGCTGCAGCATATTGTATAATTCGCAAATATACCTTCCAATCTATATAAAAAATGGACATACAGCAGATTATGTCCTGAGGACCTAAAGAGAGCATTAGGGAACATTCTCATCAGTTTATCTAACTTGACACAAGCATACACACATTGTAGCCATTTTGTAAAAATATCTATAGCATTATCTAAATGTATCTCCCATCCCAAGAAAATTGCTTATTCCCAACATAGGTGTACTGTTGAGAGGCAATCAGCTGTAATACATTGAATCAAACCAAGTTCTGATTTTCTTGGGTGAAAAATTTTCACTAAGTTTTAAAATTTGTGAAATTCTGAAAGCTTTGTATGGGAAAGGAGCCCAAAGGATTTTCATGTGCTTAAAACAGTCCAACACCCAAGACTTTATGTGTGTCTTCAAACTTCTATAATATTGAATATTGTACCATAATAAGATTATCTGGTGCTTTTCCAATAATATTTATGTGGCTGTCAGAAGGAAGAGTCAAAGCC